GTGTGTGTGTGTGTGTGTGTGTGTGTGTGTGTGTGTGTGTGTGTGTGTGTGTCGGTGAGAGAGTGTGTGTGCGTGTGTCGGTGAGGAAGAGGAGCAGCTCTCGATCGGCGCGGATCCACCGAGCGAGTGAACTCTTTCCCGTCACTCACCGGGTCTCGCGGGTCGCTGTTCTTCTCACCGCGGCTCTTCCGGGCGGTTCGGCCGGTAATTCACTCGGTTAATCCCGGGAATCCCTTTCGCTCGCGCCGCTCCGCTGCCAAAATAATGCGCCGCTCGCTCTCGCGCACACACACACACACTCACACGCGCGCAGCCGCGGCGTCACCGCACTGAGCATGCGCACTGAGCACTGACGTCTTCCTCACACACCCGAACACAGGTGACCCGCGGCGCAGGTGAACCACAGCTTTAACCAGCTTCACTAGCAGGTTAACCCTAGCCCTAACCCCCCCACACGCACACGCACACATGATGGTGGTGGTGATGATGATGAAGACTCTGGGATCAAAGATGAGAGACAAATGAAAACTCTTCATGTTTTATAGACTGCAGCTCCGCTCTTCATCAGGTGCATCATGGGATGCTTTGAAACTGTGATTTCAGCAGAACAAACATCACGATTGGTTCAGGAGGAGCAGGTTAAGCTGTTCTCTCCTCCTCATCTTCATCATCATCATCCCCATCACTCCTCTAGCTCCGCCCACTCGAAGTATCGCATGTCTGAGCTCAAGCGTGACACTGGTTACCCATCATGCACCATGAGCATCAGTCTGACGTGTGTGTGAGAGAGAGAGAGAGAGAGAGAGTGTGTGTGTGTGTGTCACAGACAGCGCTCAGCAGCTTAGAGATAAAGGCGGTCATGTGACCCGTCCAGCGACTCCAGTGCAAACACACACTGCATGAACAGTTCAGTCAGAATATCTGGAACGATTACTTTTCTAATGAAACAAACTGACTTTGAACTTCTTATAATTGCATTTTGACCTTCAATGTTCACATTCACAGCTCACAAGAACTGCACTGCACGTGTGTAATATGAATATGACAAATAAAGCTTGAAAGAACCCTTAGAAATACCCATTCTGAGTGAACGTCTCAGTGTTTGTTGTCCATACAGTGAACCACATTCTGAACACATTATTCATGTTTACCTTAAAGGAAGAGTTCTGCCAAAAATGAAAACGTGCTCATCCTCAGATCATCCCAGATCAGGATGAGTTTGTTTCTTCATCAGGTTTGTAGAAATGTAGCACTGCATCAGTGTCTCAGCAATGGATGCTCTGCAGTGAATGGGTGCCGTCAGAATGAGAGTCCAAACAGCTGATAAAAACATCACAATAATCCACAAGTAATCCACAGCACTCCAGTCCATCAGTTAACATCTGGAGAAGACAAAAGATGAGACTAATCCAACATTAAGACGCTTTTAACTCAAATACATCGAGTCCATAATCCATAATAACTCTTCCTCCAGTGAAAAAGTGCATCTGCTGTTGTCTCTCACATCAGAATCCAGCCACATATGTGTTTAGAGCTGTTTAAACGCTGCTTGATCTGTGCAGATTTCTCTCCTGATTCACACCAGAACACTTTTTCACTGGATTTTCTCATGTTAAGATGAATCTGCATCATTTTCTGTGGACTAAAACATCGAGTCACAAACGCTGCAGAACTCTTTTGAGTCTGAATTGATTCTCTTCATATCGAGTGACGTGAACATCTGAAACACGCTGAATAAATCACACAGGATTGAGCGTGTGTGTGTGTGAGGGAGTGTGAGCGTGTGTGTGTGTGTGAGGGAGTGTGAGCGTGTGTGTGTGTGAGTGTGAGCGTGTGAGTGTGAGAGAGTACGTACACTGATGAGGTTGTGTTCTGGAAGGCTGCAGGCGGCGATGTGATCCTGCAGGAGCTGCTGGGAGAAGTTCTGGTGCATCTGTGCTGCCTCATGCGCTTCCATGGTGTTCCCGCAAGCCTCGTTAAGATCTGGACAGACAGACACGTGACGTAAGCTTCTGATCAACACTTACAGTCAAACCAAAACTTATTCAGACACCTTCAACATTTCTCACATTATCACAGTTTATTCACTAGGGCTGGGCAAAAAAAGATCGATTCTCTATTTTAATCGATTCTCATTTTTACGGAACGATATTGATTCTTAAATCCCAAGAATCGATTAGTCTAGACTGTTTTCAATTAATGGACGGAACATTGAAGGGCATCTCCCATCCAATATATCACAATAAACATTGTGCTTTGGTACGTTTAATATGAAACAAAGTCTCAGATTTCAAATTCTGTCCATTGTATTGCAGTATTTAAACAATAAATGCAGTTTTGGCGCTGTTTAATGTGGAGTGACAGATCGCTGTAGCGCCTCGATCAACAGACGTGAACTGATCGTCTCCTCCGCTTTATTACTAGTTATAGCACAAAATAAACATGACTAAACATCCGAAGGTAAGTTAAAAGAAAGAGTACAACTTTACAATCCGTATCCTGTCTCATGTAATCGCTCAATCAGTGTTTCAGCCGCGCAAAGACGTCAATATAACATCCATTGCTGAGACACTGATGCAATGCTACATTTCTTTTTTCTCATGTTAAGATGAATCTGCATCATTTTCTGTGGACTAAAACATCGAGTCACAAACGCTGCAGAACTCGGAGTCTCTTCATATCGAGTGACGTGAACATCTGAAACACGCTGAATAAATCACACAGAATCCTTCATACACTTCTCCAATTTTATTAAAAAATCCTGATGATTTTGAAGCAGACACAAAGAAATAATATGAGAGTTTAAACACAGTTATTAGAAAGAGCGGCGGCTGATCCGAGAGCAGAATGAGCCTTTACTACCTAACGAGCAAAGCGCCTGATAAACTACAGGAACAACAGTTTTCATAACATTTATACAAACGAAGGCTATTCCAAATCAAAATAATGACAAAGATTAGAATATGGTTAAATGTAGTATATATTCAAACTTTATAAAATGTAATAAATGTATCTGTTAAAACTACAGAGGAAAAGAGGTAAATACCTTTAAAAGAACAGACAGTCCTCACAGCGTTTGTACATGAGACGTGCAGAACAAAACAAGCGCGTTTGAGCACAAAATGAGACGCGTGTAAAAATATCAGCGAGACTGCCGTCACACATCACAGCTTCACAAACAGCTCTCTCAGATTCAGTGTTTATGGGAGTGAAGCTGAACATAAACCAGACACGAGGCGCCCTCTGCTGGTCACATGACATCCTCTTCCTGCAGTCTGTGATCCTCTTTCTCTGACAATCTCATGATTAAACACCTCCATCTTCACCACAAAATCATGGAAAATCAGATGAAAGTGAAGCCTGTTTGAAGATTTTTTTTTCCATCATTACTGTAAATGCATAAATCCTGTAAAGAACAAATTAAAGGAAGTACAACAAATACTACCATAATGCATTAATAATTGAAATGTCAACAAATTAAGATTACAATAATGAGAATTTAAGGGTTAAAAAAAGTCTAAAATCCTAAAATCAGGCTTCATTTTTCTGACTGAAATCGGTTTTATTTTGTGGTGAATATGAGGTTTGATGAGTTACTATGAATTCAGTCACTTGTCTCTAGTTTATGGATCGGAGGATGATGCTGCTAAACGACTCGTTACAGATTCATGCTCGCACACTGAATGATGCAGCGCTGGTTACTGCTGCTAACTAGTACAGCTAAACCCGTCTGAGGAACGATGTGTGACGACAGCAATTAAACACAGAGACGAGGAGGAGGAGCAGAACACAAACACTCTGAACTAAAACACAGTCTGCTGTGACCTTTGACCCCCGTCTGTCCTCGCTCTGAACACAGCCCATGAGAGTGTGTGTGAGTGTGAGGACGACCTGTATGTACAGCGTGTGTGTGTGTGTGTGTGTGTGAGTGTGAGTGTGTGGATGACCTGTATGTACAGCGTGTGTGTGTGAGTGTGTGTGAGTGTGAGGACGACCTGTATGTACAGTGTGTGTGTGTGTGTGTGTGTGTTTGACCAAGTAAATTTAACAGGATGTTGTAAAAAGCAACAGTTTAATTACTAAACTCTCTACTAAACACCATTAACACACGCCCACAACACACACTTCGCCATTGCTTTTAGACACGTGTGTGTGTGTGTGTGTTTAAAGCAGGCTGGCCAGGCTGGTGGTGGGTCCGTTCTGAGCTTGAATCTGCACAGGTGGAGGGCCTTCAGTCCACTGAAACACACAGAGAACACGATCAGACACATTCAAAACAAACACAACTCTCATGTGGAAATGAATTATGAGACATTCCTCCCATCAAACATTAAAACACAAGCTGTGTCAGGTGACTCGTCTCACTAATGGTGCTGTCAGTGCTGTATATGATGTCATAAATGTTATTATAAATGCAAAATACTATTAGATATAATGATGGACAGACATTCTCTTGACTGGTGTGTGTGTGCGCGTGTGTGACTGTATGTGTATGTGTGTGTGTGTGTGTGTGTGTGTGAGTGTGAGTGTGTTGTGTGAGGGAGTGTGAGCGTGTGTGTGTGTGAGGGAGTGTGAGCGTGTGTGTGTGTGTGAGGGAGTGTGAGCGTGTGTGTGTGTGAGTGTGAGCGTGTGAGTGTGAGAGAGTACGTACACTGATGAGGTTGTGTTCTGGAAGGCTGCAGGCGGCGATGTGATCCTGCAGGAGCTGCTGGGAGAAGTTCTGGTGCATCTGTGCAGCCTCATGCGCGTCCATGGAGTTCCCGCAGGCCTTATTGAGATCTGGACAGACGGACACGTGACTTCAGCTTCTGATCAACACATATTTTTGTGTGTGTGTGTGTTACTGTGACAGGAAGTGTGTGTGTGTGTGTGTGTGTGTGTGTGTGCGCTGCTGATGAACTGTTGAATTAAACCCATCGTTTCTGATGTTCGTCAGAATCATGCACCTTCAGATTTGAAGATTTTTTTTCCATCATTACTGTAAATGCATAAATCCTGTAAAGAACATAAATTAAAGGAAGTACAACAAATACTACCATAATGCATTAATAATTGAAATGTCAACAAATTAAGATTACAATAATGAGAATTTAAGGGTTAAAAAAAGTCTAAAATCCTAAAATCAGGCTTCATTTTTCTGACTGAAATCGGTTTTATTTTGTGGTGAATATGAGGTTTGATGAGTTACTATGAATTCAGTCACTTGTCTCTAGTTTATGGACCGGAGGATGATGCTGCTAAACGACTCGTTACAGATTCATGCTCGCACACTGAGTTCCCGCAGGCCTTATTGAGATCTGGACAGACGGACACGTGACTTCAGCTTCTGATCAACACATATTTTTGTGTGTGTGTGTGTTACTGTGACAGGAAGTGTGTGTGTGTGTGTGTGTGTGTGTGTGTGCGCTGCTGAACTGACCCTTGAGCAGAGCCGATGACCAGAGCTGCACAGACATGTCTGGGATTTTACTGGCCAGCTGCATCGCAGGAACCACCATGTTGTTGCTCTCCTGCACACAAACACACAGCAGAAACACACAATGACCAGCAGCGCACAGTCTGAGCAAACGTTCCGGTCTGAGAGAGGAGGAAGCGCTGAGAGCTACAGTGTGTTTGATACACGGTTCCTCATGAACGAGTGTGTGTGTGTGTGTGTGTGTGTGTGTGAGAGAGTGTGTGTACCTGTTTTTCTATTCTGGTGGGGACTTAAACCTGAATACACACAGACTCATGGGGACTCATGTCACGGT